TATATATATATATTCTAAATACACATTATTCTTAACCCAGCTATGCGTTGATCTGTTTGTCAGTTAACAACTTATGTGTTACGCAGATCATACACACGCTGAATAAGTGAGGAGGAACGAAGTTGTCAGATGCTCCTCCTATTTTTTTCTCACGTCTACTTTATCAACCACAGGAGGGAAGTCTCACTAGTAGATTTACCAGTCTACATTCCCAACGAGCGGGAGGAATGAAGAGAGTCAGCGCGTTTCTTACAGTTTTGTTCAGCTTGAAGCGCAATGAGCTGTAATCGAAAATAGTTTTGCGCGTAAAACTGGTGGTTGGCCAGAACTGGATAGACTAATAACTCAACTAAAACCTGTTTATGAATGAAACGAGAGAATTCTACTGAAGAAACGGAAGCCCGAAGACCTAGCAATATAGATTTCGCTTTTAAATATTATGTTCGGAGTGACTGAAATAATCCATCTATGTTGGTTAGTGAGTGTTGTGGTCGGGAGGAATGGCCGCGCGCAGCAGTGATGGACACTCCGTGGACAGGTGCGTACTGACTGACTTGTGATTCAATATTGATGCTTTATTTTCATAACAGCTTATTGGATGTGAAATAATTGCAGTTTGATTCAGTTGTTCAGCAAAGGAACATCCGTGATACGTTGTGATAAATGATACATAACGTGTAATAAATTAAAATCATACAAATATTACACTCATTTGAGTCTCTAAAACATCTGGTTGTGCATCAGTCTTTAAAAATCTGAGACCACACTTGAAAATGCTTGTTTTCTCATTTTAAAGAACAATTACTTACCAATTGCATTATCAGCAAAGCAGTTTTTCAGTGAAAAGTTCAGCTGATGATTTTCAGAAGTATTTGGTTTGTCCCTTTTTTCCCTTTAATGACTTAAACTTGAACTCCAGAAGTTTGCATAAAACCTGATGATCATGTTCTTCAGCTTGATTTGAGTATGATCCAAAGAGCATCTTATGCATCAGTCTTTACAAAGGCGTTCACATTGCCAAACTTGCTTCTTTTTTATTAGTGACCTAAACGCTAAATATTTGTTTACTTCAGGCTTGAATGAAAAAGAAAATCATTTAAAAACCCATTTGCACATACAAAACTATGCGTTCGATAATCACCACATACAACTCTAAAAGAGAAAGTGTGCAGTTGTTACTTGTTAAGGAGCTGTTTCCACCTGAGATGACTATTAAAATGTATTTTGTTTTTGCAACAGAATGTGCTGAGGTTGATTTCAGTCATATAAAATATTTGAATATCCAAATCTTTGTCCAAGCAAATGCTTTCTACAATGAGGATCCCCCTCTGTGTAAAGCCACCTGCCACTAACAAGCAATAGAAAAGTAAATAGCTGAGGCAAACTAAAGCAAACAGGCTATTTACAACAATGGACAATATATGCTGCCTCGATTTCCTGTTTTAATATGAAGTACATCTACACCGAAAAAGAAAACAGCATTCATCGGGCACTTCATGTGGTCATTAAGCAACTGTAGGTGAGGTCTGTGACAGACATATTGATTCTTAAGAAATGCTTGCTGTTTTTACAGATCCTCAAAGAAAAGGAACTGCAAGTTTTTCACAATAGACAAAGGTTCAAGGGTGGGACTGTCTGAACATGCTTTCAAACAAATCATGCGAGAACATTACCAACATCGATGTGAACGGGAATCCGGTGATGAGTGCTGTGATGTTCATCGCTGGGGTGGTTGGCAACCTGATGGCTTTGGCTATCCTGGGAGTCCACCAAAAAGAGCGTCGCACCAAGTCTTCAGTCTTCTGCATTCTTGTGACAGGACTGGCGTTGACAGATCTGCTGGGAACATGTTTGCTCAGTCCACCGGTTTTCATTTGCTATGCCCAAAGAAAATCCCTGGTGGGTCTTACGGGAGATTGGTGGCTGTGCGGACTCTTCGCCTTCGCCATGACGTTCTTCGGCTTGGCCTCTATGCTCATACTGTGTGCAATGGCGGTGGAGCGGTGCCTCGCCATCAGTCACCCGTATTTCTACTCTAAACAAGTGCGGCGCAGCTTCGCCAAGATCGTCCTCTTCCTCATCTATCTCTTTACCTTCATGTTCTGCTTGTTGCCGTTCTTTGGATACGGACGGCACAAGCAGTACTGCCCAGGCACATGGTGCTTCATCAAGATGGAGGCAGAAGGAGAGGGTGAGGATGAGGAGAGGAGAACGCTGACCTTCTCGCTGTCCTACGCCGTGCTTATGGCGCTGCTCATCGCCGTTGTGTTCGTGTGCAATGGTTCGGTCATCGTAAGCCTATGCCGCATGCACAGGAGCCAGCTGACACGTCGGGGATCGGTGGTTTCGGCTGGACGAAAGAGGAGGCTGAGCACCTGGTTTGGACAGGGAGAGGAGGAAATGGACCACTTACTGCTGCTGGCCTGCATGACTTTCATCTTCGTCATTTGCTCCTTGCCGCTGACTGTGAGTATGGGATATTATATCACTGTGAAATGTTATAGTTCAAAGCTAAAGTTCTGTTTTCCAGCCTGTTTTACTTTTCCAGAGAATGATTTTACAACAGTTAGGTTCTGGTCCTTCTCATTTTATTGGTCAAGTGCTTTCCTTTTATATAATGGTCTAGACCAGAGTATATGAGTTCTCATTTTCTCTTGAATGAAAAACCCAAGTGTTTTAGGACGTATTTCTGTCTTGTGAGGCTTTACAGCGCTCATAGTCCAATAGTTGGCAATATTGTGGTATGAACTTTTAAAACCACTGAAGAGCAGTGTTGGCAATGCTAGTTTAAGTTCCTTTTACTTGATGTCGAACAGCATCAGGTTGGTGAAAAAAATGGTAGAAACTTTTCTAAACTTTGAATCAACTGAACCATTTGCTCACCAAATGATTCATTGTTTTGACATACTTAAAACACCTGCTGGTTAAAACGGTGTAAATGCAACAAAAACTCAAGCCAAACATGTATAATTACACCTTTTACAAACTGACTGCAAATGTTTTATACATTATTCTGTTATACACTGCAAGTATTCAAATTCATTCATTAATTAAAAAAACTGACACAATTTTTGGTTAAAAACCATTAACACTCTTTTATCGATTTACCAGATTAATGTCATCTAGCAAATGTTTTGAAACCATCAAGGTTCAAAACTGACATGCCAAAGCCTCATTTGCTAAAACCATGTGACTTGGCAATTCTAAAACAAACTCTGAACCACAAATATAAAACAAAAGACTCGTAAATGTTTTAAGCATAGTTTCGAAAGCGCCCATCACTACAAAAGCCATTTAATTATGAGGACAGATGACGAGGTAGAATAAGCAATTGTTAAAAGAATAATCATCACTGTCAATTTCCTGTATGTCAAATTCCAATATGAACAACCATTACCATGCGAAAACTCTATTCATGATGTCACCGCATTCTAACACACATCACGGAAAATGTCATTTTCTTTAGTTAACTATTGTTTTTTTTAAGCTTTTGTTTTCAAAAAACATTCTAGTGACCTTTCAGTGAGTCACTTTGCTGATGGCTTTTAGTTGGTGTTGCTGTCCTTGCATTTAAGTCAACCAGATGCAAATTGCATTGGTAGTTACTGAATTATGCCGCTACTCATTTGCATCAAATTGAACTTTGTTCAACTTCGTCACATCACCAACAGTCCATGTCACTTGTCGCGCTGGAAATCAGCACCTCATTAAAATGATAATGTCCGGTGTAGGGATGGGCGATATGGGCTTAAAAATATATCACGATAATTTCTGATATTTATTGCGATAACGATATCAATGACGATAATTTAGGGAATCCTGTTTCTTTAGAGAAAAGTATTATCTTTCCTATTTTTACCCAAAATAGGGTGTTGTGAGCATTACTGAGTACACACTTAATGTAATGACTGTTTAATTCATACTGGAAGCCGGAAGGCGCCCTTGCGCAGAAACTCCACATATGCATAGTAGAAGTAATGCTCCTAGAAGTATCCAGTGATCGCTGTAGCTGAATAAAACGCAGATTGAGAAATTTTAACTGAGGAAACCTGAAGACAATAAATATGCGATTGCACAAAATATATGGTATCTGTGTTCTTCAAGCAATCTTGGGTATTTTTTATAAGGATAAAGTATATTTATAATGCAATGCTAATCGACAGCCTTTATCACTGTATATAATGCTATAAAATAGTATGATTTCTGCCTTATTCTGTGATACGAAACCACGTCTGATCACAAAAATAAGTTATTTCAAACACTCAACTATGTTATGAAGTTAATTTTGGAGAGCATGTCAATAAATTAAAATATCTTTGTTGGACAACAGGTTTGTAAATGACTCATACACATGTAAAACTGTGTCGCACATGTGCTACTGTAGTACATTTACTCAAGGCTCAGACTGATTTTTGTCGCACTGTACAGCCCTATCCAAACCTGTCCCAGATTGTAGAAGGAGCTGCTCAATTTCATGTCCGCCTTCCTTCACGTCACTACACACAGTCGCACACAGAAATATGTCAACAACTAGACTTTATCGTTATTATCGCGGGAAGACAAATTCTTATCGTATGGAGAATTTTTACCGTTATATCGCAAACGATAAGATATCGCCCATCCCTAGTCCAGTGTCTTTGTTGCTACAAATCCCTGTCCGTGTGAATCCGCTTTCCCAGCCCTTGTCATCATTTTAAATCGATGCGGTAGATTGGAAATATATATTTGAACTATAATTGCTTTTAAAACAATTGAGTCTGCTTTAAAAGGTAAAATGTAGTCTATCTTTGCAATTTGGTGGCAAATTATTCACAGTTGTTTAGTCTAAGCTCCCAGAGTTAAAGGGGTCATCAGATGTGACATGCACTTTTACAAGTAGTTTGAACTGAAATGTGTGTTGACAGTGTGTACACAACCACCCTATAATGATAAAGATCCACCCAGTGTTGTTGCTACAAATCCCTGTCCGTGTGAATGCGCTTTCCCAGCCCTTGTCATCATTTTAAATCGATGCGGTAGATTGGAAATATATATTTTAACTATAATTGCTTTTAAAACAATTGAGTCTGCTTTAAAAGGTAAAATGTAGTCTATCTTTGCAATTTGGTGGCAAATTATTCACAGTTGTTTAGTCTAAGCTCCCAGAGTTAAAGGGGTCATCAGATGTGACATGCACTTTTACAAGTAGTTTGAACTGAAATGTGTGTTGACAGTGTGTACACAACCACCCTATAATGATAAAGATCCACCCAGTGCTTTTTTAAAAATCTCGTTAAGTCATTTCCCTTTCTCATATCAAGCCGTTCTCAGATGCCTGTCTGTGTGATGTCACACAGACCCAGGCCCCTCCCACGATTGTTGATTGACACTGTTGTTTTACCTTAGACCCGCCCTGAGTAAGCTGTCATCAGTAGTGATGGGCGATACCCCTTATTTTGTTTTTGATACGATACCGATATTTTTCAAGGCAGTATCGTCGATATCGATACCGATTCGATACTTCTGCACTAAACTTTTACATTATGAAATGTATTAAATTATTAAATTACTAAGAGTAAAATGGGTAATGCAAACCACTTAACTTTGTTTAAAACGCATTTTAACCTGTTTAATCCCAATTTTTTCCCAGACATGAAAATATCCAAATGATATGTCATTAGTAACTTTTTGAAATAATCAATAATTTTATTTATTTATTTTTTTAATTTTGTGTGAAAAATTGTATTTGATGGTCAGTCACAATTGTAACCGGTGGGATAATGTGTATACTGAATTAACATATTTCTGCAGTCATAAAAATTGTTATATATCTTAGCCCAGCTATTTTAAACGGTTTGATCACATTCTAGGGTTACTATTATGCATAAAAAACCCTTATACAACATTGATAGGAATACTGAGATCAAATACAAAAAAATACAACGTATCATCAACATATTTCAAAATTTTTACTTTTTTGTAACATATATCATCACATTTTTATATTACTGCTACCAGTATTACAACATTAATATTCTAACTTATTTGTAACATTTGCACTTTTGATTTAGTGCAATATTTTGTACTGCCATTAGGGACTGCCAGTGAATGGCTGTTGCATGCATTAAATGCAACTTTTTATTCTGACAGTGTATGATTTCTATTAACATTACAGAATAGAACATGATCAATATTATCTTTCAACGTTCAATTTAAATAATTGTAATTGCACAAACTATGTAGGCTACAATTTCAATTTGTTTATTGTGAAATAACTCAAACATTTATGTTTTTTTTCTGTTCTCTGATAAGCATTGTTCAGGGCTGCCATTCCCAAAAGCTTTAATGCTTTCTTATGATACTTTTGGGAAACGCAGCCCTGTTTGAATGCACTGTCAGCAGTGAGTGAATGCTCTCTGTGATTGATTGGTTCTGTCTTGCAACATTTGCGTGTGTTCAGATGAGCAGGAAAATAGTTCTATCCTACACAATTACTCGCTAACAAAGGTTATTCGTCCAATTCAATGCATATTGTATGCATTATTATTATTATTATTATTTTTGTTAAATAAACAAAACCACTGGTAAATAAAGCGCACCTTAGTATTGATATTTTTTTTGAGTATCGATACTTTCGATACTCGCGTCAGTATCGATATATCGATACTTCGGATCGATACGCCCATCCCTAGTCATCAGTCCGCCATTGCTTCGATGCTGGAGCACATGTAGACAAGAATGGCTCCTATGCGATTGAGATGTTTTGTTGTTGGATGTAATAATGAACATAGCAGTCGTCATTTACTCCCGACATTTACTCATCATCTGATCCTCTGAAGACGCAGTGTAGTACGTTTGTTTTTGAAGGGAATGCGCCCCCCGATCTACCTAAATGTGTTTATGTTTGTGCAAACCATTCGTGATCCAGCTTCACCTACAGAAGAAGTGAGTATAAGGATCTTTTATGAATGTTTGCAAATCGCCTTTCCTAATAACGTGCTAGTTAGAAAGTTCCAAGACTAAAGTAAACAGTCTCATGAGAACTGCGCGTCACCCCACGGAAGAGAGGGGCGGGGTGAGCAGAGCTCATTAGCATTTAAATTAACATGACACTAAAACACTAACACTAAAACAGCTTGCTGAAAACAGAGCTGGTAAAGGGTGTTTTTACACTACCATTGACAAATTTTAACCAAAGTATGTCATAGACTTTTCATTAAGACCCTAAAGAATCATATCAACTTGTGGAAAATGGGCATCCGATGACCCCTTTAAAGATCTCCATAAGAAAGAAAATATTTTGCCTTTAAACTGCCTCAGGCTAACACATACTAATAATTTATTTTATGTGATTGACTAAACGAGAAGTCTGCATTTTACAAATTAGCCAGCTGCAGTGAAACATAGCACATATTTAGCTTCTTTAACCCATTGAAGGTGAGCTGAAGGTGAGGTTTGGTTGTAGTCTTTGAGTCGCCTGTAGCAAT